CGTGCTCTGTTTCCCAGGCTGGAGTGCAGTGGCACGATTATAGCTCACTGCAGCCTCAGACTCCTGGGCTCAAGCATTCCTCCAGTGTCAGCCTTCTAGGTAGCTGGCAATTTGGTGATTCTTCATTAGTAATTTTAACTAGTGATTCTTTAGAGATAGCTGTTAAGCAACCATTGACAATTATTTGAAAAGTTACAGTTATGTGTGCTTTGTAGGAGAATCCTGGAGTGCCTTGAGAGGACAAAACCACAGTTGGCTTCCTTCACAAAGTGGCACTTGAGCTAACCTTAAACTAAGAAGGTCGTAGGAAATAAAGAGGCACAGAATAGAGGAAGAACTTTCTGGCAAGGGGCAAAGATCTCAAAGTATAAAGGAGTATGGCTTATCTAAGAAACAGAAAGTTATTAAAGCTGGGAAGCAGAAAAAAGAACAGGAATGGCCAGAAAAGAGGCTCATGAGAGTGAAGATCAGATGATACTTAGTAATCAGATATTTAATAAACTGTAGATGTATATGTATTTAAGGAAGTTTGAATTTTAAATAATAAACTGGAATGACATTATAAATTAAAGGTTTTATACTTCCAAATATTTCACTGAAGAGAGATTAACTAAGAGAATATTAGTAAAGAATATGTTAATGTGTGAAGTTAATAGACTTAATAAATTAGTGAATTAGTTGATATTTTATAAATGAGTATATTTCAAATTCAAGAAAGATCAGTTATTTTATTTAGAAGCAAATGTAACACATGCCTAACTTATAATGGAGTGAATTATATAATGAAATAGATTGATTTTAGTTGCCACGGTTCTTTCTCCAAGATGAGACATACTTGTTTTGTTTTCTTTTCTAATTATTCATTATTATTAAATTAGCTTTATTTAGTCATTCAGCATTTTCCTCATTTTTCTTCCTCTTGGTTGATTATATTCTGAAAGATTGCAACTTATGAGTCTGAAAATAATTTTAAAAGTTATTTAACTCTAAATTGGTTGATTCATTCTTCAAACCTCAGGTTAGTTTGCCATAGGTGCTGCTGGGAAATATATGGTAACTCTGGCTACTGGGGAAATGATAGGAGATGATCAAGCAAACTTAAGAAGTAAAACTTGTGTCTGCAACTTTTAAACATAATTTTCTGATGAAAAGTCAGCTATTAAAAATTGTTTAGCTCTTTTTTCTTTCTCTATTTTAAATCTTTCTCTGTTTTAAATTTTTCTTTCTCTATTTTTAATGACATACAATTACTAATATATTTTATTTGCAAACAATAATATTAAATAAAAATTTCTGTGTTGCCCAGACTCAAGTAGTGATATTATGGTTACTTTTAACAGGTTTTTATTAGACATTTTTTTTTAAAAAAACTATGATAATCATATGGTAACACATCCCATGTACCAGTGTAAGAGTCTAATTGAATATTTATTACTTTTTCTACTTCCTGTATAAATTTATCATTTAGGTATACACATGTTTCTAGTATGGGGTCACATCTCAAACAGGTACATAGATGCAGATGGACTTTGTAGTGAGCTTCAGTCAAAGGCCAGGCGCTGTGTTAGGCCCTACAGTACAGTCAGGAGCTGATCAAGGCAGGATTGGTGTTTATGCTCATGAGACCTCTAGTCTGGATGGAGAGAAAGAAATTTTAACGAATTATTTTAAATACAGTATCAAGCTTACAAGAGCACATGAAGAAAGGGAGCTAGGCTTATTTAATGTGGTCCTGAGGTAGGTAAGGGTAGCCAGAAAAATCTTCCTTACATAAACTACATTTAAGCAGAAAGCTGCAGATAATTACAGCCAGTGCCAGACTTAACGACCACAATTGGTTCCAACAGACTGGTCGTAACACGATTTGGTCGTGAGTAGTCTATATGTACAGTACTGTGAAATGATGTTATAAAAATCTTTAAGTCATATTTTATCATAATTTTCTTTCATTATTGTTATATATCATAATTTTTTTTGTTCATTTTATGCCATTTGTATCATCTCTATACCATTTTGTTTCTTATTTTTACATTCTTCAGGTTTAAGTAAAACACTGTATTACCAGTACAACTGGTTTAATATTTGCAAAACATACAAAATTACAAAATACAGGTGCATACAAAAATACAAAATACAGGTGTAAAAAATACCATAGGAAACATTTTCCCAATTGCAAAACATATCAAAATATATAAACATGTACGAAACATTATATTGGCCGCTGGTGCTTGGCTGCAGATCGTTGATGTCGTTATCTGAGACAGCAATTGGGGTTACTGGAGTTGGTTTTTTCGTAAACATGGTGAGCTTTATCTGAATTTTATGTTTCTTTTTTCTTCATAAATTTCACAATACGGATGGAACACATCGTGCACCATCCGTTCAATCCTTGCAAATCATTCGATGTTTGGGTCCATTGCTTCGAAATATATAAGAAGTTTATTCAGTAAAGATAAACCATCTCATAATCCCTTAGTGGTGAACTTTCTTTCTGGCTCCTCCTCTTCTTTCTTCGCTTCTGTTCTTTCTTCTTCCGCCACTCTTTCTTCTTCCAGTTCGATTAGCTCTTCATTTGTAAGTTCTCCGGATTCTTTGTCTAGCAACTCTTTGACATCTTCCATTTCACACTCCAAAGAAAGGTCTTTAGCGAGTTTTACTATTTTTTCCCAAATCGTTTCAAGTTCATGTTCCCTGTCAAATCCGTCAAAATCGTTAACATAGTGCTTAACACAATTTTTCCAGATGCCATTCATGCACTTTGTTGTCACAGCCTCCCAGGCGGTAGTGATATTCTTGATACACATCAAAATGTTGTAGTGTTTCCAAAAATCTACAGCAGAGCAGTTGTGGCTAGCGATTGTGGTCGTAAAGTCGAATGGTCGTAAGCTGCATAGGTCATAAGTCGATCAATACCTATATAAAAGAAAGATGGGCTAACTGCGAGAAGCCCTTGAGGAAAGGCCTTGAAATGGAGGGAGGAGGGACCAGGTCAAGGGACTAAAAGTTCTAGGCAGAGGCCAGTGAATGAGGACCACCAAAAGTCAAGTATTGCCACCTCTACCGCTCTACCTGCAGAGGAAGAATCTCTGCAGGTATTAAATTTGTTGCTAAGATTTTTTTGTAGGTCCTTTTTACTTAACAGATTGAGAAAAATAAAAAAACAACATTGTTTTCACCGCCTTTTCTTCTCTCATGCCAAACTTTGAAGATCATGAAAATTTGTTTGCTTCCAAAGAATCATGAAAAACTGGAACTTAAATTGGGCTGTTTCACAAGAATGAAATATAAAAAGCTTTCCAGGAAAAGATGAAAATAGAAGAAATTATACAAGGGGGAGTGGGAATTCTCTTTTTTTATTTTTAAAAATTGAAGTCAGTGAAGACATCACAAAATATGAACCAGGATTTTCAAAGGTTATGCTTTTAGGTATAGATTCTAATTAGCCCACAGACTTAAATTTGCAGAAAAAACAGGCAGGCTAAATGGTGTTTACCTCAGGCCAAACCTACTATATTGTACCTACAGAGTCTACTCTAGTTTTGGGCAGGACTATTTTAAAATATGTCAGAAAATAGGGTATGCTGTCTTTTAAAAAACTGAAAAAAATTTCATGCTGTGTAAACTTCAATTTATTGTGAGAGAATTGTGATTAAATTTAATTTCCATTATGCTTCCTGCTTCTCACAGGCTAGGCAATATAGCTTACAGGTTACAAAAGACTCTGACCATAGATTGCTGGGGGTCCTATCTTGGCTCCTTCAGTTACTGGCTGTGTGTCCTTGGGCAAGCCTCTCGAATCCTTTTCATTTAAAAGGGATAAATATTATATTTACCTCATGGAGTCAGTGATGAGGATTAAACGAGATAATATGTAATGCACTTAGGGGATTGCCTGGCATATAGTAAGCAAAAAGTAAACATTAACTGCAAAAAGACCTTAGACTTCCTGTGTCTGCTCAGGTGCATAAATAAGTACAGTGTAACTCTGGTAGGATGAATCAGGGAGGAGAAAGAGGTCCCTCTTACAGCCTTGAGAGGTGACATAAACTTAATAGTGGTCAGATGAAAGGCTGGTAGTGCTGCTATTGCTTTATTTTTTTTTAGAAACTGTAATTAATGCTGTCCTGCCCTGGAATATTTTATGAAATAAAAACATTCAGATTATGCCTTGCTAATTTTACAAACTCAAGTTCAGTGAATCAGGGAATGTGAAACTTTGCTCTGGATTGATTTGTAGAGGAGACTTACACTTGTTCCTTATTTTATGTCTTACTGTAGGATATAAGTGTTGATCCCACAAGAGGCTGATTTCTTTGAATTTAGGCTTAGATAAAATAACAAAAGGTGAGATATGTTGAGCCAACCTCTACTGAATCCCTCCACTTTCTCATTTCCTTTTAAAAAATCTTAAGAACATTTAAAAATAAAACCATGATGTACTATTTGTCATCCCGTCCTGTTTGCTTTCCTCCTTTTATACCTTTCTCAAACCTTTCCCCTTATCCTTCTCCTTGACTGCCTTCTTAGGTCTCCATACTTCCTGATCATCTTAATCTGTGTCCTCTTTTGTCTGAATCCTGCCCATATTTCTTTGTATCGAAGAGAGAAATGGGAAATGTTAGCCTGGGCCCAAAGTAAGCAGAGAGAAGGAAAAGAGGAAAATGTAGCAAAAAGGAAGTGGTGGTCCTAAAAGATGCAGTAAATATATCTGGGTTATGCACTGACTCATCAGCTCTGGCTTTGGCTGTGCGTTTGTTGGACATAGACACATTTAATCTTCTATTTGTTTGAGATGATTTGTGTATTATCATTCACTATTTCTATCTAACTAGGTTATATATTCTGATTTTTGTCATTCACTCTCTCTTTTTTTTTTCATTTTGTTTTCAGTAAGATCACAGAAGAAAAGGGACAGAATAAGATCTGAAAAAAATGAAATAAGATCTCTGGAAGAGTCTCTCCCTGTTTGTGTCCTTATTTTATAGTTTTATACTTATTTAGCTGATTAATTACTATTGCACTCCTAGAGTTCAGACTTGCTCCATCGCAGGATCATTTACCTTTCATGCTGGGAGACCATTTACCTGACCTGCTTTCCCTGATTTGCAGTGGTCCTACTGAGCTTCTGTCTGACTCTGGCTGTTTAGACCTTTGCCACCACACCTCATCCCAGCCTGGCAGTGAAGATCCATCTCGCAATGCTGTGACTCAACTTCTGGCAGCCTCCTGAGCTGCAGGCCTGCAGCTCACTTCACTGAACCTTTTTGTGCTAAGACCCCTCCTGAGCCCTGTTGCAAAATGTTAGACAAATTCATGGACTGTGTGTATTAGTATGTTATCAGAGAGGACTAGAATCTAAGTTACCATGTCCCCCTGTTGATAAGCAGTGGCCTCAAGGAGGCCTTAAGGCCCTACTGGTATCTTAGGGGAAGAGCAGTTCATAAAAAGCTTTCACATCCTGGTAGCCACACAGGTGGCTCGGGCACTAACTTTCTCTGCCAGTCTTTGGTTTTGGTCCCCGCTTTATCAGGAACACTTTTCTTGTCCTGGTCTAATTGTCAGTACCTAATCTACATATCTTTTCTGACACTGTGCTGGGTCAGTTGTATGTGATTTATGTGGCAGAGGACCATGTACACTCTTTCTATTACAGGGATTTGTGCAATCGGATCTGATTTTGTACACACTGAACTCCTATGTTCCCACCATTCTTGAAGCTCCTTCAGCAAAGGCCCATATTTTCTTTATTCTGAATTACTAGCACTTTGCACATCACTTGGAACCTTGTAAGTAATCAATCCAGTATTAACATGTTATAAGAACATGCTATCTATGTTGGGAAGACTAATAGAGGAAATTTTGGGCCAGGTGACACAGGTTTTGAGGGGGAGGCAAAGAGCCATATGTGGACTATGTAGTAGTATTCCCAGACGGTGTCATTTAAGGTGCTGTTTCCAGGATGTTTTCCTAAGCTCAGATAATTATTCTTTGAAGGCATTATTTTGTACATATCTGCAAATAACCTGAATGATTTATTTTTGTTTTTATGTGTGGCATAAGAGGCAATGTGATTGATTTCTTGAGAATAGGCATTTTTAATCTTACATCTCTAATTTTTAAAATTTCTTCCCTAAAATATCAATTTTGAGTTAAACAGTTTTGGCTTCTATTTTTATAAGCTAATATATTTTCTCAAAGTTTCAATCTTGACTTTTTGTCATTTTCTCTCATTATTTTAGCTTGCTTTTAGTATTGTGGGTGAAGAAGGGTCAGGCAGAGAGGTCATTTCTTTGTCCCCTTGCCCCTGGTGAGACAGCTGTGTCAGCCAGACAGTTGGCCAGAATCTTGTAGAGAAACATGATAAAAACTTGTCAATCTGTTTGTCAGTCTGTGTTTTGAAGCAAATGGCTAGTTTAGAAATCCTTACAGTAAAAGTCAGTGCAAATACTAATCCCTTGTTGCTTTATCTCTGTTCTGTACTGCACAGAAATGATTTTAAACACTGTTGATTATACATTGTTGCAAGAAAGAAAATGTAGTCACTTAAAATGTAGATTCTAAAAGATGTGCACAATTGTATTACTATTGCTCTTTGAAATAGTATAGTTTCTTCCATTCATTCCAAGTAGGAAAAGAACTAGGAATAAACAGATTAATGGATTCTCTCTATCATATATTATATAGATATTTGAGACAAATGATTGATTAAACATGCTACTAACAATATCACTATTGTTTTGAGGAAAAAGCCAAAAATAAAAACTTTTACCAAATGGGCATGTAAAGAAAAATTAGGACCTAACATATCTACTCAGCTAGGTTCTAATGTTCATTTTCTTTTTAGTTTGATCTTGGATAAGAATCAATTTTCAATGTTAAATCCAGACAACTCTTTGCTTTTTGCATCTTTAAAATGTTTAATCAAACACATGTTAGTAACATTTCTGTTAATTGTCTCTGAATGTACTGAACAATTGCTGTGAGAATTGTTACTTAAGTAGGGTTGGAGGCCTGCAGAGCAGATTGCAAATTTTGCAATTGCATTTTAGAGCTGGCTTAACCTAGCCTCTAACTATTTTCTTGGCTTTTATTCATGTGATGGATATGTGTGGTTTCTGTGAGCACCAGATTGAAATGAATATTGAAGTTTGTATTTCTTTACTTGAGAAGGCTGCCTTTTCTAGTTAGGCCTAAAACACAGAGCTCTTTATGGACAAAAATAATCAGAACATTTTCCAAAAAGTGTATTTCAAGCCCTTCATCATATGAACAATAGAATGAATGTTGAGAACTGCTCCTTCAAAAAGCGATTCTTAGAGTTTTGATGTGAGTTTCTCACATATAGAAATGTGGCATAATTGCTTTTCCATCCTCCTCCCCTCCTCTGTCCTATATACCTCCTTTCCATCCCTGCCTTTAGTGAAATTCAGCAACTTCAATGAAAATGTAAAAAGTAAAATTTAAACTTTGTTTTCCTTAGTTTACATTAATTTATTTTCTAAGTAACTATATGGTATATGAATTCCAGTGTAAGTACCAAGTTGTATCCTATAAAATCAGTGTGATTTGTACACATACTTCCAACATACATATTTAAAATGTTTATTCATGTAAAAAAAAGACTATTTTTAGAGCAATTTTAAGTTCACTTCAACATTGAGGGGACAGCACAGAGAATTCCTGCATACCTCTCCCTCCACACTAGCACGATGCCCTTCACCATCAACATTTTACACCAGAATAAATGAACATCCAAAATCCATTATTTACATTGGTTCACTCTTGATGTTGTAATTCTACAGTTTAGACAAATGTATAATGAGATGTATTCAATATTATAATGTCATATTAGAATAGTTTCACTGATCTGCAAATCCCCTGAAATGTGTGTTTTTAACAATTCTATAGTATTCCATGGTGTGTGTATGTGTGTATGTGTGTGTGTGTATGTGTGTGTGTGTGTGAGCTATATCCCTATTCTTTGACATATAAATCATTTTCAACATTTAAAAAAATTATAACTTTTAAAAAATGTTGAAAATGATCCATATGTCAAAGAATAGGAATGTGGCTAACACTCATTAGGGAAGGGAATTTTTTCTTTGTTTTTGGAGGATATCTCTAAGTCACAGTGTGCAAGGAAAAATTGGATTAGAGCACAGAAGAAATGTTATAATACTTGTTTCTTTCATCCAATAAGCATTTGCTGAATACCATCTGTGCCTAGTCGCTAAGGTTATAGACTGTAAATAAAGTACAGTCCCAGTTAATTCTAAAAGATTCCAAGGTTTGAGAAATACTGATGCATATGCAACAGCCATTGTGTGGCTCACATCAATAGCAAAGAAACTTAATTTCACAGAAGAATTAGAACAAGACAATTTAAGTATTTAACAAAGTCATTAAAATAACACAAAAGTAGAATACCATTTATAACTTCATTCATCCTGCTTTCTCCAACTCTTTTTATGTACTTACATGAGTTGTAATATAAACTCTTTATGCTTTGGTTTTCTTAGTGTACCTTCCTCATAGCCTTGTTAATAGTGAGTAAAAAAGTAAATAAACACAAATCCTTAGAATTGTACTGGCACATAGTAAGGTTCAAAATATCTCAAATTTGTTTTCGCTGAACTCCCAGCCTCCCGACTTTCTCCCACTCGTTTTCTTAGCTCTGGAATTTTCCATGCTTCATCTCACGCTTTCTTAACTGATGCAATTTTTTGTTTTGTTTTCTTTTCCTGCCAGCTGCTGTATGTTCTGCCTGGTGTAAATCTTATAAGACCCGCTGGCCTCTCTCAGGCTGCTAGCTTTCATAGTTAGCCCCCTTTAACACCACAAAAGGCTTGAGACTTTTTCCCTTTAAATGGAGAATCTAAGAAAGTATTTTTTATTGTTTTGTATGCATGTGTGTGTGTGTGTGTGGTTTTTTTTTTTTTTTTTTTTTTAATGGAGTCTTGCTCTGTCACCCAGGCTGGAGTGCAGTGGTTGAATCATAGCTCACTGCAACCTCAAATTCCTGGGTTCAAGTAATCCTCCTATCTTACCTACTGAGTAACTAGGAGTACAGGTGTGTACCACCATATCTGGCTAATTTTTAAATTGTTTTTGTGGAGATGGGGCCTCACCAGCCCAGGCTGATCATGAACTTCTGGCTTTAAGAGATCTTCCTGCCTCAACTTTCCAAAGTGCTGGAATACAGGCATGAGCCACCAACACCTGGCCCAAAGATTTTAATTGAAACATTTCTCTTTTGCCTAAATTATATCAAAAGAATCTTTGAAAATGAGTTCTTCACTCAATTAGATTCCTTTCTCTGATAGAGTTTCTGACGACTCACATACTCTGTGATGGTCCTTAAAGCCCCACTCCCATCATGTAGCTCAATTTTAATGTCTCTTTGACATGAACCCATACCGGTGTTGATACTGATGTTTGGTCAATAATGAAGATGATAATTATTATTAATATTTATTGCATGAGTATTATATGTAGTACACTAAGACTTTTACATGCATTAAACATGCAAAAAAAACCACACTATTCTAACCCCCTTTTAAAGATTTTATTAATCCTTACAACTCTTCAGTGAGATAGGTCCTTCTGTGACCCAGTTTGGTGAAACAAGTCAGGTAACTTACAAGCTTACCCAGCAAGTGAGCAAAAGACCTGAGTCTAGATTTGAGCTCCCGCCCAATCAATCTTGACTACCTCTCACACTTCCTATAACTATCCTGCTTTCTGCTAAGTGTATTATAATAATTGAAAATATAGTATGTTTCATGTAATTCCCAGACCACCCTATTCAGCAGGTATATTGTTGTTCCTATTTTATAGGTGAGGAAAAATGAGTCTTGGAGAGACTGCTTTGACCACCTCTGTCAAATGAGTAAGTGGCAGAACCCACGTTAAAACACAGGTATTAATAATATGATCTTAGCTCCTGTATGTTTAACCAGTATGATAAATAATTCTCTTCCTTTCCTTCAAAGCCAAACTTCTCCAATTATTC